GGTCGTACCGTCGTCTCTCTCTCTTCTCTCTCTCTCTCTCTCTCTCTCTCTCTCTCTCTCTCTTGCGCGCGCGCGCTCTCTCTCCCCCCTCTCCTCCGTGTACCATGTTGCCCTCCGGCTCTCGTGCCACCGGAAATAACTCTTTCGACGATCGCTCCATTTGTCCGATCCGATAATCGAACGATCGAGCCCACACCGTGTTTCTCGACGCACCGCGATTCCGTCGAGCTTGACACACTTAAGTTATTCATTGAGCGCGTGAGAAGCGGATACCGTTGCACGGCCGTTTTTTCGGTATACATATCAAAATTAGTATCTGAAATGACATCCGTATGTACATCGGCGCGATTTGTGCTAAAAATAAAATTCATGAATGACACATCGACATAATGCAAACACTTTGAATCAATCGTGAACACGTGAAATGTATAAATAATTAGTGAAATGTAAGAAACAGAAGCAGAGACGCTCTCGCAATGTATAAATACGTAGGGGACTAGTTTCGCAGAAATGTAACAAATTCTAGAGTCTGAGACAAAAATTGAACCTAATTTATTTATTATAGCGCGTGTACTTTTTCTTACAGCTGGCTCGAGCCGAAGAAGTAGAGGTTGTAGAGGCAATTTCGGGAGAAGATAATCGAAATGAAAATTCAGCATTAAATCGACAGGATAACGAGTTAAATAATTCCGATCAATTGGCATTGGATACCATAGTGGACAAGGATACCGGCGGAAATCACTATAAACTAGGTGGACTTCGAGGTCATCCTTTACTCCCACCGAATCGAGGTGCGTTAGGTCTACCACGTCCACACCATAATGTCGCTTATCATGGCCCACCGCCGCCGTTGCCGCCTTCTAAAGTGCAATCGCAAGCTATGGATAAGATTTATACAACTGGCGGTGGTATCACCACTGCGGTCGGTGTCGAGCCTTGGCCAGTGTCAACGCCCGATATGCCGAAGATTGTGTCGCTGGACGTAAAATGCGAGAAAAATCTGATGAAGGTTTATTTGGGCTTCGATAAGCCGTTCTACGGCATAGTCTTCAGTAAGGGCCACTACAGCAATGTCAACTGCGTCCATTTACCGGAGGGATTAGGTCGCACGTCCGTCAACTTTGAGATCAGTATACATACGTGCGGCACAGCCGGCAACACGGAGAATGGATTGTACGGCTACGGCGCCGAGTCCGGATCTGGCACATACTTTGAAAACATTATAGTGGTGCAATACGATCCTCAGGTGCAGGAGGTCTGGGATCAAGCGCGTAAATTGCGCTGCACCTGGCACGATCTCTACGAAAAGTCGGTTACCTTTCGTCCGTTTCCCGTGGACATGCTGGATGTAGTCCGCGCGGATTTCGCCGGTGACAACGTGGGATGTTGGATGCAGATACAGGTCGGTAAAGGACCATGGGCTTCCGAGGTCTCGGGTCTCGTCAAGATCGGTCAGACAATGACGATGGTGCTCGCGATCAAAGACGATGACTCCAAGTTCGATATGCTCGTGAGAAACTGCATGGCGCACGACGGCAAGCGTGCACCGATACAGCTAGTGGACCAGCGAGGCTGTATCACGCGACCAAAATTAATGTCCAGATTCACCAAGATCAAGAACTTTGGCGCCTCGGCGTCCGTGCTGTCGTACGCGCATTTCCAGGCATTCAAATTTCCAGACTCCATGGAAGTTCACTTCCAGTGCACCATACAGATCTGCCGATACCAATGTCCGGACCAGTGTTCAGAGTCGTCGTCGCTCTTAGATAATCAGGGTCTTTTGGAGAATCATCATCATCACTCTCCGACAAACGTCGGACACCCTGACGTCGGTGGATACGGACTTCCGCCTTCAATCCCGCTACCGTTGGAAGCCTACTTACAAGCGGCGGCCGGACGACCCCGCGATGAAAGAAGGAGAAAATCTCGAGAAATTGCACACAATCCGCAAAAGGCTGTGGGTGTAAATCGGATCATTCGAGTGGTCTCGACGGGCGACCTGACCTTCTCCATCGGCGATGAGAGCATCGGTGGCGAGCTAAATGGCCCGACAATGGTATTCCCGCAACGCTACGAGAACACGTCCAGTTCAACCATGATTTGCATGACCACTCCTGGATTCGCAATTACTCTTATCGTATTACTCGCCGTTTTGTTTTTCTCGTGCGTGCTATCGGCCTATCTCTTTATGCGCCTCAGGCCCTTCTCGACAAAGGCCAAGAAAACTGCGGCGTTCAATGCTGAACAGAATGGCGCGACAAAAAAATCTTCGAGGACATGCTTTTATTCATAGAGATATTTGCGATTGTCGCCAGTCAGCTAAAGTTTCGGTGATGCCAATATCGCGCAGCAAGAGGAGTCGTCAAATTGCATGGCTCTCTTTTCTCGAAACCGGTTTACGCGATCCTATGCGATATCCATGCGTTTAAGCATCGTTGGAAATTACCATGTCGATAAGATGAATGTGGTTGTGCGGAAAAGAGAAAATTTGCTGCGAATGCGTTGTCAAGACGAAAAATTAAAAATGGGTATAAATCGTTTGTATTTGTTTAAATACATTTGGCTGTCAACTTTTTCTATATGCATACTTATGTGCCGAGAATTTTGTAATAGCGAGTCGAACGCACAGCGAGCAACATTTCCTACAAGAGGACCAAGGGAAGAAACTTTGTATAAATTGGTCTTCGGAATCACAAGTTGTCAGGTTTCGCAGAGGCTATCGAATGTCATAAGCACGACTCTGTATAAAGGTACGTATTCTTCCGACAGAGTCGGAATCAACGCGGTATTAACTTTTGGTAATGTGCTGCAATACTCGTGTCTTTTCCTCTTTCTCTCTCTCTCTCTCTCTCTCTCTCTCTCTCTTTCTCTCTCTCTCATTCACTTTATATTACGGCCTCCATAGAGTTGTGCTTTGTCATAATGAAACTCAAGCTCAGGCCTTTATAGGCAAACATAGGCGATAAGCCGAAAATTTAGTCAAAGATAATCAAACCCGTTTCTGCATTTACTACTTACATGTATTTAGTCATGTAACTGTATTTTGTTTTATCGGTAACTGTATTTAGTCTCTGGGTATCGCAACTGGGTAAAAATAAGGCTGAAATGTCGCAAAAATAGCCTATAATATAGAATTTAAGAATTATTTTAATAATGTTATTATTAATAATATTATATTATTATTTATTTATTACGTATTTTTAAATTCTTTAAAGATATTTTGCAAGCAAAATCCTATATAAACTCCCACACATATATATGAGGCTAACAAATAAAGTTACAATATATGAAAAGACTACATACTCTTTTTTCAATTAATAAATTAAATAATTAATGAATAGGTTAACAAGCAGTGCGCCACATAGATATGGGATATTTTCTCAGTTATTTTTAAGTATATAATTATTTAAGTGTTACTTTAATAGTCTTTTTTAAGTTGCGAAAATAAGAAATTGTGCCAAAATATATTATTATTACCATGTAAATCAGCAAATAGTGAATTATGCGCAATCCTGTTATAAGATAAAGTTTGCTTCGTTCCATATATATCGCGTGAATGTCAAGCAATGCTCAAAGAGGTATAGTCGATAAAACCGTCGCGACATTCAATTCTTGTCATCATTCGTATTATTGTTAACACGTTTTATATAACCTTGCAGAGCAAATGTGTTAAAAATACGATAAGTTAAGTGAAGAAAGTCAAGCAATTCAATAAGCTATCTATGCAGTCGTGCAGTCATTAGTTTATACTTGCAATATATGACACCTATCTCCATATAGAGAATATATAAGATAGATTATAATAGACACGATGTGTCTCGGAAATTGTGTATTTTTGTCAGCCGTCAGCCGATTAATCTCATATAAATGAGATAATCTTTAATTTATCATTTTATTAATATCTATCAGCAACAACATTGGATGTATTGCATATATGTATGTATATATGTATACACGGCATATGTACACAGATACATGCACACATAAGCATAGACACATGATGACGCGCATAACACACAACATATATACATATATTATAATTGAGGCTCAATCATACGTTTTCAAGATCCTGTAAATATATTTATTGGCATTATTTATGTATATTAAATAAAAACATAACATATTTCAACTAAATAGTCATATCGTCGCTTTACTTTTTTGTTCGGACTTTTTCCATTCAACTCTCTCAGGTGATACTACGATTTATTCCTCAGTACTTTTGATAGCACATATGCCGCGCTTAAATTAAAAAGGTTCAATCTAAGCGTAACAAATAAATTTTTAAACGTTTATACATATATGAATAACTTAAGGTCTAGTCTTAAATGTTATATAGTTGGCAAAACTCACAAGTCACTTGGACAAATGAGCAAATAAAACTTTAAATCATTTGTCTATTATTAGAATGCAAATCGGTCCGTTTTCGTGTAAAAGAGATTCGAATAGAACACATATTTAGAAATAGTTTGCTCATATTGTATCTCTAAAAAAATCTTTATATAAAACTTTTTCTATATTTCCAATGCACTTATTTACGTATATCAAGTATAAAAATTGTAATCGTAACAAATTACATTTGTGTGGCAATAGCTTGTATACTATGTTACAATTTGCGGCAGTTGATCTCTAACAGAAAAGCGAAGACAATCGTAAACTCTCTTTCGCATTACACGTACGTAAGTCTGCAAGTTATGAAAGCTTTAGAAGATGAAGGAATGGTGGATATGATGGGAATTAAATATTTATTTTCTCTTCGTGTCAGCTTTCCCAAGACAACGCATATTTTATACACATTTGCTACATCCGAGATAAATATTTATATATTTTTAGCCTCCTTAGAGCAAAAGCTATTAATGACTTCTATATAAAGAAAATGTCGTAGAATCGAACGACTCATATACTAATAGACTCATAAATAATGTAATAGTACTTGTTAAATATCTATCTAAATAAAAACTCTCATTTAAATTGTAGACGATATAATTCTCTATAATTCGTTTCATATTGTCGATTTGACAACAGAATCTCAAACGCCATCGACGACATTCCCAGAAGATAATTAACGCGCCGGAACAATCTCCGATTCCGAAGAATTTTTGTTATTCGTATGACAAAACACATATTATCTTTATCAGTATACTATTAGTACAATAATTACGATTATTTTCAATATAATTTTATTACATTACTTTCTCCACGATATACCCACGATTTTTGTTATTAATCGATTAAGGCACTAAAATCTCCGTAAAAATACTATCTATCTATCAACGGTAAACCGCTTTCATAATTTTTAGTATTATCGCGGTTTTAACGGTTATTACCTCACGTTCAAACGTTTTCAATACATAATCTCATTTATACTCAACATGTCTCTTCTGCAGTTTTTTAATACTTACATATATTATGATCTGTAGTGCGTATCTTTCATAAGAGGAAAATAACCTTTTTATTTTATTTGTTCTTTGATAATATTCTGTTGAAATAATTTAAATAAAAGATCTATTTATAAATATTATAATGAGTTAATACATCTATTAGTATATACGAAGGAAAACTTGTAAAAAAGACAAAATGACATTGATTAATGATGAAACATGATGAAAATAACAATGCCACTTTTAATTAATTATCAAAAACTTTGTAATATGTAATACAATTGAAAACTCAATACTTAATATACACCATTCTACGAAAAATAGGGAACACTTTTCAGACATTCAAGTCGAGCAATTTTTGAAATGCTGAAACGAGTAATCGTTGCAGACAAAAAATGAAAAAAGCATCTTAAAGCTTGAAGCATTTTAAAGTTTATACTTTTACATGCTCTTTCAATTGTTAAAAAAATTTTTTTTTATTTCTACAGTTCTTGGCTCGAAAGAAGAATCATTTTGTTCTTAAAGTTACGTAGTAATTAGTTCCTTTAACTCTATGTAGCTTGGCAGAAAAATTGTTCTCGCAAAATTTATGACAAGTGTCAAAAGCTACAACATGTTACCTGCAAAACTGAATTAGCATTAGCGTGTAAAATGCAGGTTTAGTTTCATAGTCGCGTAACTCGGACAAATAAAAGCGTAGCAAAATGTAAATTGTTGTAGTTTTTGACACTTGTGTGAAATAAATTTGGCGAGAAAAATTCTTTTACCAAGTTACACAGTGTTTTGAAAGTAATGTGTTCCTCTTTCAAGCTGAGGATTGTAAAAATAAAAAATTTTTAAGAACAGCCAACGGTACGCGAAAGTACAAGTTTCAAGCTTGAAAATGCTTTTCTAATTTTTCACCTAGCGGCTTGAAAATTGCTAGATTTTAAGTTTCTGAACATCTAGACGCGGCAGAACAGTGCGACCGGCTGGCTGTATGCACGCCATTATTACGGCATCGTGCGTATTAGACTAATGCGTATCTAGAGACGGAGTTCTCGGTGACTGCGATTCGTGAAAACTCGATATCGTTGCGCGATACGCAAGAGAACACTGAAACATACCAATAGTTTTTTATTTTCTTCCGCTGATATTTTGATATTTACGTGTATCCCTGCGAGAGAGAAACAAATGTTCTTCTCTTGATATACAATCGCACGCGGTTTCTTACGCACTTACGTAATACTTTGTACAGAGTATTATTGCACATTTTGGTCTCTCCTCAGACGCACACCTGGCCTACGCGTCTCAATACCGATGCGGATACAGGCGTCGTCAACCTCGTTCGACCGATGGATCTGCAGCCTGCGCCTGTGAAGTGGCTGCATTCGTCTGCTTCTGCAGTTGCTCCGGGTGATGAACGGATCGCGTCGTGCAGCGTACGCGTAATAAACCATACGGCAACCAGCCATTGTTGTTTACGTGAACACCGGCTTGGTTGTCCTCCCTGTTGCCAGCGGTGACAACCTCCCGCTGCGCCTGCAGCCGGTGCAGCATCGCGCCGGCAACGAGAGCGGAAACGACCGCTGAGAGAGCAACTACGATGAAGAGTGCGCTGAAACCCGGCATCGGCAGGCAGATCCCGTAAACGACCTCTTCACGTATTCTGCCCTGAAAGACCGTCACCGCTTCGGCATGCGTGTCTGGACTGAAGGCCAGATCCGCTTCGGAGATGACCTCGTAGATACCGCTAACCCCGACGTCAGCACTGCGCACCTTCCTATCGGTAATCATCACTGAGCGCTTCCGTCGGGTGACGCCGGCGGAGAGTGGTGTTACGGGCATTGTGCCGCTATCCTCTTCGAGATTGCGAGGTCCGTGCGGGAATTGGTCCTGCTCGCTCTCGTACCTGTTCACTCGCGGTGGTTCCTGGAAAGAGGAGAGCCAAGATCGAGTATTCACGACCAATTTTAATTGATTAACTCGACGATTAAGAAGATGTTTTTACGTTTATTACCATAAACGGCTTCGATAAGTCGACATCACCAAGATGGATCTCGCTATCATGCGCTTCACTCACAGTCGGCGATTGCGGTGAGCGATTGCTCGTTTGTGCCTGCGCTTTCGGAATCGACTTTTCAACGTCCAGGAAGTGTCCTCCAATCGATGCCATCTCGTCACCGTTTTGGATAACGTCATCGTACAGAGAGCTATCCCCCTGTTCAACGTTATCACCCGCGTTCTCGTTGTCTTTATTCGCACTGTCATTATCATCGCTGGATGCCATAGAAGCTGATGTGCTTTGTACATACTGCGGCCGTATCTGATCCTTTCTCTCTTGAATGTAGTGAGCTACGGAATCGCTCAGCTGGCAGTGATCCAAGCAACCATGCCGACATATCTCCACCTTTTCATAAAAATATTTTCAATCTTGTTACAAGCAATATTCAGATTAACAATAGACATCGGTATTACCTTGCATTTGATATGAACGCTTAATGCGTCTGGGAATTTAAAGGCGTGGAAAAAGGCGTATGTAATGACAGTCGCGCGATCGTCCGAACCGCGCGCTTTCAAAAATCGACTGATCATCTTTGGTCTTAGCACGCAACCAAATTCATCGCTGAGCTGTATTGTATGACCGCCGCCGTCTGAAGCTACGCACGACTTGACTCGCATGTCAAATTCACCTGTGCTCAGTTTAATTAATAGAATATTATATTAGCGTATGTCTGTTCGCTGGTTTTTCTCGAAAAGTTTCGGGTATTTGGGAGTTTGTTACCTCGGTAATCGTTTATGGCGACCACCAGGGTGAGAGTGGAACCAAGCGGCACGATTCCGGATACGGGTGGCGCCCACGGACCCTTACCATGCTGGATTTCCATCCAGCAATCCACATTGTCACCTGTAAACAATGAAAAATCAGTGCAAATTTTTATCCTCGCACGTATAAAAATCAAAAAAGTAAAAGTGAAAAGTATAGTAAACTACATTTATATCTACATATCATTTTACTTATAAAAATATGACATATTCTAAGCGGAAGAGAGTGATATTGCAATCGATTTGATGATATTCTGTGATTTCTCATGATGTTTCATTCTCATCGTCCTATAAGCGTCCTGTATACGTGTCGTGGTATACTTGTCGCATACTCGCTTTTTATTCCGCGATTTATACAAATTGTTTCAGTATTATAGATGAAGACTTAAAGTTGTTAGTCGATAAAATTTACAAAATAAACAAAAAAGTCTCAATAGGCATACATGTCTGTAAATTAAGTGTTTTCGAGATATCTAGAGTTCTAAGTTTTTACCCACAATTCTCAAGCACTCTTATATGTATGTTACGTAAACGGAAATCAATTGATGTGACTGCAATTTTACCTGCGGTCAACCGCAAACAGTTGCACGAATTGCAGCGTGTGATTCGTTTCTTGGCGTTAAATGAACTATCCCTCACAACGTATGTTCAAAAGCGGAATATTCGCTCTACTTTGATGGAAAGTGACTCGTCGTAAGTGTTATATTTAAGCGAATATTTAACCGCAACATTTCAGAAAATCTTGAAAGATTTAAAGTTTGATTGAGAATGACTGCATTCGCCGCTCAAGATTATTTACAGCAACAGATGGCAATCGAAGGAGTTTCTCGTACACACGGATATTGCGCGGTAGTCTCGATAGTATGAGAGCCCGGGAAATGTATGTCGACGATTTATCTCCATTAAGAAGTAGCATTTGATAGAAGCATAATCGTAAGTTTGTACCTCTGAAGTCCAGCTGTATTACGTCGAGATCCGCGATAACCATCGGCGGTTTCGACGCGGTCTTCTCGTAATCGTTGAACCATTCGCATCGCAATCGTTTAGCCTCATCCCAAACCTCTAGTAGGTCTTTATCATACTGGACCACTACGGTATTCTCATAAAATTGCCCGTGCATATCCGGTTTCGTACCGCATCTGGAGTAAAATAAAACACGTACATAGGTAAAATGAAATAATAGGTATGTTTTCTGCAATTGTTATATAATAACTTTTGACAAAACTGCCGGCAAAAGAAACAATTTTGCGTTATGGTTGAAAAAATAACAAGCACGCGAAAGTGGTTTATCAAAATATACTGCGATAAATTAAACGACGTTACATCTTTGTCACACATTCCGTGGATAAATCAAAGTTGGGCATTTACGTCTTCGTTTTGACGGTAGGAGAACTCACCTCGCGTAAGCTATCCGGAAAGAAAAGAACGTTTGTCCGGTGGACGGTGGGACGTAGACACATCGTGGATCCGCGTGTTGGCCTTTGGATGAGACAATGCCCTCAAAAGGCTGTGAGAACGAGAGGTGGACATCCATGTGGTCTTTTCCACACATTACCTCCAAAGACTGGATGGCCGGCATGCCCTCTGGTCTCTCCAGCGGCCAAATGTCACTGTTGCTACTGACGCTCCTCAGGCCAGCCACCTGTGCATTTAAAGAATGTCGTATGTTTCTTTGAACCTGCGACCTTTGCTCTCTTCTCGATCTTCGCGCCCTCCCCCCCCCTTTCCCTCTCTCACTCTCTCTCATTCTTTGCTATCTGCCACCTCTTCGCTCCTCGCTTTATTTTCTAACCTACACATATGATACGTAACCCGTAGCCTCACAGTTACGCACGGCAAGAATCGACCGTCGATTCTACTCTCTTCGCGATACAACAAAATTATACCTAGTAGAAACTGATTGCAAAGACCGAGAAGTTGCGCAAGTCACAATTGTTGTAAATCGATAAATGTACCAAATTAAGAAAATCCTATTGAAATTTACGTGTAAATTTATTTTCAATCTTTATAATTTAAAAATACCTAGTCAATTTTCTAATCAAGAAATAGATTGGCCATAAATATTGATCAATTTGATAAAATATTATTGTACAGAATTATTTCAAGGAGTAAGAAGTTAAATCAATTTAATTGATTGAAACATCCGTCCCTAATATCTCCGTGTCAGAAATTATTAACCATAAATCAAGTTTATTACGTATCCGCATCGAGTTGTTTTTTGCACGTAATGAGCTTAGAGAGGGTTTCCGCTGAGGCTGTAATGAAAACTCAAGCACCCATGTGTTTTCACCTCGCTCGTCCATTAGAATCCGGGATAATCTATACGCTTTAGTCATAAATACCCCTTTACGTTCAATCGGACAATCTCTGACAATCTCGTGTATAGCTCTTACTTCGCCGCTAATGCCGGTATACGAGGTAATTACGGCACGAGCCAGAACGGCATCGCGCTGGCGTTTACGGCGTATCCATCTCGAATTAATCAATGACATACGGTTTATACCTTGCGCCTTCACTCACTTCCTGCGAGAACGCAAATAATTGCAAATATCATTACACCTTTCACGCGTGTATGTCTAGATAATGTTCAGTCAGAACAAAACAGAAGTGCTGACAACGATAGTGTTGTTTGAAATGTTTTTGCGGTAATAGGTTAACTGGTTTTCACGGGGATATGATCTAGTGAATGTGACGATAAATCAAGTCCGGAGAGCGGTCCGATCATAACAATTAAATTTATTATCACTTTTGTTATTTATAATTTTACGCGTGCAATTTCCATTTACTTATTATGGTGACTTTGGTGATTTCTTTCACTAAACTTTTTACGATGAAAATGACTTGATCACTGGCTGAAACGTATACATATAATTACTAAACATTTATAAATATAATGTGTCAGACCTAACAACTAGTTTTGGCTTTTAAGCCCTAGCATTCTGTAACTCACCTAGATTAGTACATTAGAGCCTCATAAAATTTTATTTTAATTTCTTAAACTGACTGAATATCGCAAAGTCACTATCACACATAGTACAGTGGATATGTATCGCCATCGATAGTTTGAGGAATAACAGGCGTGTGTTCTGCTTCGAACATTTCTTCAAACTAAGGGATGCTATATGCACACGCTCGCGGCCGTAGAAAATGCTAGATGCTAGACGCGAGTGAGCGAATGCAGCACCATCGTCGAAGCGAGCAAGGTGTTCCCTATGTATTCTGCGCAACACGCCGTAACGGGAGAAGCGTCTTTACCGCTGCATTAACGGTCGCTGTTTTTCGCGCAAGTGAAAACACGTTTCTATGCTCCTTTACAATCGCACTGTTAAATGACAACGTTTCATTAGAAATGATTACGCACCTGGCGGACGCGCGCGGCGGCGCGTACCCCTTTTTGCCAGCGCGTCGCGCCGCGGCATCTCGCCGTGTATCAATAGCGATCGTTGACTCATACGCTACCCCTGTTCGATGCCGCGATAGGATGCGGGCATCATTTAAAAAGAGCAGAGACACTGTTCATTCGTTGCCGGAACATTCTCTCTCTCTCACGGACTCAGATGCGCGAGAAATGCAAAATTTAGTCATATACCATCGCAAGTTATTAAGATTCTTCGAGACTCGCTTGTACGACCTCGTATGCTATGTATCAATATTTCGAGTCGTTCGAACATCAAGTACAGTAGGTGAAGTACGGTAGGTGAGTTTCTCATCGCGGCATCTCCGTTCGGCGTTCGAATACTAATGCCCGTCTGTGGCTAGTAGTCGATTGTACTCCTCGTGACACGCGGAAATAGCTGCTTCGGTCGCCGCACGTTTGCGTGTACCGATCGTAAGACGGAGGATTGGGGTCGGCACGAATCGAGAGGTTTATGACCGATTTTACTGACCTTCCTTAACCCTTTCTGTAAATTCCTATTATGTCCTAGTCGTGTAACCACTGACGGAGAAAAGTTTGCGTCAACTCATTGGTTTATCTTTGAGTAAAAATTGCGGATGCAAGCAAATCGTTGTTGCGCATAATGGTTTGTTAGAATTGACTCGGCTGCAGACGTCCATGCGCGACAAACGTACTCGTACGGATAAACATTCGATTTTATCGCTCTTTCTTGAATCACAAACCGCGGTAGCATTTCTACCGCTAGTCTCGTCTGCTCGCTCTGCATCGTAAAAGATTATAGCGGTCTGCTGTACAATAATCGTGGGTAATTTATGGACGAAATGCACGCCTATTTCGCGAGCAAGGCCGCGGAGATAAATCTCTCTCATCGGACGATACCGTCTCGCGCGGATGGTAGGTTTCACGCCGGTTTCCGAATAACGTGAGGAGAAGTAAAGTAAGGGGAATATGGGAGGGGTGACGATGTCGGGCGAGACGCGAGAAAGAAGGCTACAAGATGCGATAACGGTACCTAGAGTAGGTATCACGAATATCCGCTTGCAAGCTGTCGCGGCGGCTCCCGCCGCGTCATCGCATTGTCATCCAAATGGAAATGCGCGAATTCCCAGACTGATCAGACGGCACCGCCAGCGCGGAAACGCAAACGCGCGGCGACCACGGACCACTCTTTATTTTTCCTGGATTGCGTGGTGCGTTCGCGCCTCTGCTCCGCTTGCAAAACGGTATCCCGAGGTTATTAGCCAGCCAAATGACTATTGCGCAAATGAGTATCGGGGCTTGGCCCGGCCGCTCAGACCGTTATTCATTAATTACAGAATCTACGACCGCGTCGCTCCATGGTCAAACACACTTGAAATTACAGCCCATTATCGGAATCGACGCGAGTCTGCGGAGTAGTCGACCGATCCGATGGAGTGCACGGTTCTAGGGCCTAATTGACCGACAAAAGAAAACCGCTACAAGACGCGCGCGGGACGAAACGCAAGTCACGAGTTTCGTGTGAGCTCTTGTACCGCGGTCGTTGCTAGTCAATACACCTTGTACCGCTGTTCGTTGCTCCTGTCTTCCTCGACTGTTCGTTTATTCGCTCTTTGCGGCGTTATTAAGATACCGAATCTGACATCTCATCTCTCGACATCGATAGCTCGAACGTTAATAAGTCTTTCTAATTGAGGATAAATAAGACAATTTAGGTAGACGAGATTTGAGATAGAATTCTATTTATGTATCTGCACCGAGTGTAATATTAATATAGAAAGTATTTGAGAAGAAATCCAAAAACACACATGTATGAAATGTATGTATGATGTGACATATGTATATATTGTGTACACATTCAAATCTTTTTCACAAATGTTTTTTATTGCATAACATTATAAACAGATTTCTTTTTCATCTTGAATTCTATCGCAAATTATAAACGGTCGAAAGTTTCAGCTCCGTCACATCAACGCTCATAAGCATGCAATCGATACTGATTTCTGCGTCTGTCCAATTTGTAGATCGATGTTGTGCACTCACCATATAGATCAGCATACGTAGCAACCTCCACACCCCTGGCATCCTGGAGGTCCCAGCCTCTTACGACGAAACACCGTCCTGCCCTGCAAAAACAAAAAGCGCACTACTTGGCATTATTTCACATTAATTTCACCGTTGCGCGCGTAAGCTGTTACGCCAGTGTGAGGTACATGCTGTATATTCGAAGCCGGATCTATTTTAATTTACCCGACTACCATGGTCTAGCGAGCAAATTAACCGGCCACTGTCCGCCAAGTTGCGCTTCGAATCCCAAGGAGGTCTCGAGTACAAAATTGATTGTGCCAGGAGAAATCATGGTTACGGAGTTTCGAATATGTGTACATTCGCGGAAATCAGGATAACATACATAGTACCAGTGCAAAATTGCAAGGAAAAAGTAATGCTTTCTTGTCAAAAATTGAAACAAGCAAAAAATAGGGAATATTGTAGATATGTAGAGCATTCGCAGATAGACAATTGCATATTTCGAGTAAATATTAATTAAAATAAAGATGTACAATAGTAGTTGATATTAACATCAATTATCACGTTCGGTTTTGCCTTATCACGCGTAACATCTTTGAAATCTATTATCGCTTTAAGTCACTTTTAAAATTATCATGATGCAACGTATAAATCGTAATGCAACGTAAAAATGGATATTAATAGTTATAACGGTACACATTCGCATAAAGATAGCCTAATCCTAACATATAGCTTGTGTAATCGACCTAGAGATAGCGGATACAATGAATATACCTAGTACTGCATCGCGTAATGCGATTTATGTTCATTCATTTGCGTTTATTCATTTTTAAAGAATTACGTCGATGGCGATAATATGGCGATAATTATCGTCACGGTAAGATACATATATATCGTGTAAAAGTGAAAAACCAAAAGATACTTTATCATATGCATTTTTGTTCTCATTTAATGTTTACAATCTGTAATCTCAAATGTAGTTGTATAGTTAACGTAGCTATTACGCCAACGTAAATTAATATCGACATAATTTCTACTGTTTCTCAAGCGTGCATCTGTTGTTTAGGAATTTACGCTATTTACTAGCTATGATCTTTATTCTTTATTTTCCTCTTTTCAAGATTGCAAGAGAGTGGAAGAAGCTAGAAACCTTGCTAACGTTGTGTTTGTCTATTAGGTTGTCTCTGACAAACTAATGTGCTTTATGCAAAATTCGGAAGAGCAAAAAACAGAGAGAGAAAGGAGGGAGGGAGAAAAAATTCATCGCTCACTTAAAAAGCTCTGCGATGTATATAATAAAGTAGGTAATTTATTTGATGAAATGTTTTTATCGCGAACAATTTCTTCGATTATCGGAATAATGCTGTCGCCGTAGGATATTGGCTATTATAACGGTGCGTCAGCATAAAGTTCCAGACTTTACAATCTATGTTACTGACCCGCAGGTGACAGATGCAGCGAGCAATCTGGGATCGTAAATGCGATTCGCTATCGAGAGTATTGCGGCGTATCGCTATGTAATCGCAGATTGCAACGGACACAAAGATAACCGTAGTTATGAATGGAAAGTATCACGACGTCACGCACACAATAATATACCAATTTCTTGCTTTACAGGCGATTCGCACGTTTACATGCTTGTTAATCGTTGTGATCTTAATCACATACAAAATATCTTCCTATCTCAGCTTTCTCATTAGCTTCTATACAAGCATATTGTTCCAAGAATTTATTGTAAAAAGATTCCAAGAGAGTAGAGTTTCAAAAAGTATTTCGAGAGTTTCAGCAATCGTATCATTACATTTTGGATGTTTCACTGTTATCTACATAAAAGAGTAATAATTTTATATTCGCGCGTTTTTCTTTTATTTTTGCGTGTGATACAAGAAGACACGAGAAGAAACAAACCAGGTAAGAAATCATGCCTTCGTTTTCCGCTCTACTTAATAACCGTAGCTCATCTTTGTGAGCAGTCGTTAAAGAATCTATAAGAGTGATGTTGCCGGTTATACGTCGGCTTCTCCAGCTCTAATGATATGCACGAACAAGTTACAACCAATTAAACTATCTTTTTATTTGCGACAAAGTAGCGATAAGTGGTTGGTATTATTATCCGATCGAAATTGAAGAAAGGCTAAAGATTATTATAGATCGATTGATTAGCAATACGCAACATGTATTTGGAGTAATTAATTTTTGCCCCAACAAAGAGAAAGAAAAGATTAATAATACAGCTTCTTAAACAGTAAGGAAACTCATTAACAAAAGAAAATTTAACAATACAATCCTTTCAATAGTTAGTTATTAATATTATACACTTCGATGTATCATTTTTTAAATCTTTCAAGCAATTCTTTTGAACAATTTTACATTTTGCTGGTCTGTAAAAGACAATTTTAATTATGCAAAGAGTTTATTTTGATATTCTCACAACTCATTTTTAAGACTGCAGAGTGAGCAAGAACGATACATGATCATCATTGCGACGAGACAGAGATAACACGGGCAACCCGATACAGTTTTCACACACGCGCCTGTACATACACACAAGATTGTCGCGGCTCGTTAACTTCGCCGATCGTTTTGCCGGATTAAACGCATCGTTGCACTAATATATATATATATATATATATATATATATATATTTTCAATTCTTGTGTTGACAGCAATAGCCTGAAACTGCATTATTATTAGACGAACGCGGCGTGCAAATCGATAAGACGCAAATTGATTCTGTTGCTCTTCAAGTAGCATTTCATATCTGTCATTATTTAATTAATATACCACGCTATTATAATTTGTACTTTGATTGCAAGACGTTACAGAGGAATACATTAGTAGATTGATAGTGAATCTTTTAATTTTGTCCTTTTTTTGGTTGTTCCAACAGAAATGTATAAACAATTTTGCGATCAACATAACTACTGCTTGCCATGTGCAATTTGGAATAATGAGAATAATTTATTTTTACCGCAAGAATCAGCGAGTGCGAGGATGCGAAGAGACATACCTATTACATACAATACGACTATACAAGAATGCCTATTCAAGAAGCAATCTCTTGAACTCTACGTCGTACAGACACAATTTAAAAACGTTCATTCGGTAAAATCGTATATACATATGTGTGCCGTTCTCATCTATATTCTTTCGGCAGCGAGAGACACATAATGTGAATTCGGCACGCTTACTAGTAATTACTTCGCATTCTTATACTGTTGAAAACAATTAACGTTACATAATATAATATTAAACTCACCAGCCGATGTCCCGCCGCTGCAATCCGTTGGCTTTGCCGTTGCTTCAAACACACCTGTAATAAACATATTAATTAATACGATTTATTCGTGCAGTAGACCAGAGTATTGCTGTATATACATAATATATATATAATCCGTTGATTAACGGATAAAGTCAACCGGCGATGCACGTGTTCTATATGGTCAGTAACTTATAGAACAGTGACCTACTTCAGTACCCTCATTACCGTTGTCCAGCTGATCAGCTGATCCGTAGTACCGTGATAGTTACATAATATTCTGCGATCCGCGACATTGTACACACTTATGGTAAGTGCACGCCAGATTTTTAGGATTCGGCAAAAAATTGACGCAGCGACATGTGATAAGAATAAATTTTTTGTGCTTTGCGTTCCGCAAATACTTATGTCCAGTATACATAATCTTATCATGAATTTAAATAAATAAAAGAAATAGAATTAAATTGTTAAAACTAATCAATAATAATAACTAATTAAGTTTTTATACCAAATAATAATTTTGTATATGTATTGTAGCGGTTAGCGACATTTATAAGAGGAATTCCTTCTGAATCTATCCCAAGAGAAATCTCAATGATCCTGTCGCTTGGGAAAAAACGTTCGTTTCGAGTCTCATAATTCAGTGGAACCAAGTTGTAATTTTGTTGGTGTGGAAGATGAATTAAAAAAAAGAAAGTAGGAGTAGCCGGTCGTCAAATCCGATGGCATCATATATTTTGACTTTAATTAAAATCAAATCAATTAGTATGTTGCCTATATTGAAATGAATTAGTATATAAATTACGGACAATGTTAAACGTCTGTAACGTTTGCAAATATTCGCGCATGACGCTCAGACAGCGCTTGGTTGCGTTTGTCATGTCGTTGTTGCAAATATATAATTATCACGGTTGACCGACGCTCGCATGAGTTGACGCCTAGATGCCTTTGATCTTGATTTATAATAGGGGATATCAACAAATTAACGTTGATTATTTAATGACTCGCAGTCCCCGACGAAGAACTGTGGTTCCGCGATTGTCGTACCGGAACGGTATTCTAGTTGGCCGTATAGTTAGTCGATGACACGCATCGTGAGATATGGAAAAATAGATACACTTTACATTAATATTATTTTAAGCAATTAAAAGCCGAATTAGGACATGCATCGTTAAAAAGCTATTTGATACTAACAATTAAAAAATTTTGCAAAATTATGTTTTGGGAATGTAAATAAACTGGAGACGCAAATGTGTCAAAAAATTTAACATAAATAATAAGGAAGAAACTAATAATATAATATTTTAATTATACAATTTGGTGAGTTGCAATATACATATATTCTCGGTACGTGTGCGAATCGGGATCCGTCGAATAGATGAACGTATCACGTTCAGGAAATTCTTCTCTCGTTCTGCGCTATTAGTTATATGCAGCTTTTATGATACAATGTATACTGAAAGATAAATTTTAATGACATCGGATTTTATAGGTCATAATCCTTTAAAGTTTTACTCTTAATTGCCGTATTTTATTAAAACAATTTATTAAACGGGATTATATTTCTAGTTTCTCGACAATATTCTTAGCTTCAACTAAAACATTTTATAAAAGTTTTTATAGCGTTGCTTAAATGTAACAAATTTTTAAGACTTCCGTGATTTTATTACAGCAAAACTTATAATAATAAGTTAATATATTTGTATTTGCATTCCTGATTGTAATAATTTCCAATTGAGTTGTTATTCATGCCAGCTATTGCGATTATTGAGCTATCATATTTATAATTTTGTTATTTTACAACTTTATTAGACACGCCCTTTTTATCGTTAACAAATGCAAACAATACAAATGTTGACGATATTTCATGAAAAGTTGTATGGCTGATACGTTAATAGGAAGAGCAGACTGAAATGGGTGGTCTCGATGATGGAAAAGTTAATCGGAGCAAGATGTTTCATGATACACGAGTACCGTGAATACTTGGCGTGTTTTTGATTCACCCGTCTCGAGCATGCCGGCGGAAAGCATTAATTAGTCGCGCATAATCGACTCGTGTAGCCGCATGACGCAAAAATATACGAATTTCATCGGTATCGTTTTCTTAAATTCATTCTCAATACTAATGTATATAATTGCTAAATTAGTAAGCTATAGAGTAATCGTAATAAACCGATTTAAAATTCAAACAAAATATATATACGCTTATATAAGTCGAAAGATGCAAAGCAAATACAGTTAAAATTTTTTAAGTTTTTGAAACTCAAGTGTTCGATTGTAAGCATTATGTCGCGAGTATCCGCTGATTCACCTCTAGTAGAAACGGTAGTAGCCTCAGGACAGACTCACACATAGTACATTCTTGGAATGTTTCGATCGGGCCGGTTGGATTATACGCATCTTTGTAACGGTGTTTCCCGCTCGCGCGGTCGATGTGTGTGATAGATCCCACGCTAATAATTCCCCCTCGGCACCGTTTCAGGATGCTTTAATGTGACAACGTTGTCTCGCCGTCTCTCTTTTCTCAACGTCAGCCTCAACGACAATCGCTGTACAATCGGTCGCACGCGCGCAAAAGCGCATACTAACATCGATGAATTATCTTTATGGTTGCACGCCTTTCGAATCGTCATTGCATCACCATTGACTACTGTTGATCAATTTTTTTCTATTTGCTAAGTGTCAACTTAACTAATAATTAATGAAAAAACTTGGAACGTTTAAAGTTTCTTTAGATGCATTTTTATTGTTCAGATACGCAATTTCTCACGTTCTTAATTTCTCTACCATTCCTAGATCCATTAACTTGACACATTATCTTTGTCAGTATCTTTCTCTCTTTCTCTCTTTCTCTCTCTCTCTCTCTCTCTCTCTCTCTCTCTCTCTCTCTCTCTGTCGTCACATCATAAACAGTACCCTTTTCTTCCTCAGCGCGAATGCGCATACAACAATTTCTCTTTGCTTGTACGTGCATCGCAATATCAAATCGAGTGTCTCATCATTTACAGCATCCGAGCGATGACAAGACTTTGTTTCATGTCGATCGCTTTAGAATTCCAGTCGATCTCCTGCGAGGTGGTCGTAATTCCACATAGCTTTGGATAAATAATGTACGTAATTTATTCAGAATCATCATTGATCCATAAACAAAGACGCTATCGGTGAAACTGTATCACAATTCGGGCCTGGCAATTAGCGCTGTGTCTTATTACTTTATGCAACGCAATGTCAATTAAATTCTATAGCAAACAAAAGATGATTAGTGTGTGACAACTTTGACGAGGGAATTTATAAGACCATTAAAAAGTGCTACATGGTTATTGCACTACAAATGTGTCTGCTATTATAATCATAAACTCTTGCACATTAATTTTTTTCTGCAATACACAGCAATATAAAGCATGAAATATAATGCCATAAATTGACTTCCACAAGACTATAGTTTGAGACTGCGATACAAATCGATAATCGAAACAAAATATATAAGAGTGTGTTAATTGTAGATTTATGTTCAAAAAAAACTTCGTCGCTGTGAAGCAGGTCAAAATAGCGTTACCAGGTTCGATTCCTCTTCTTCTGCCCGTTTAATACTCGACAGTTGCGCAGAGATAAGCTTTATAAATTTTCAAGAACGATCGTGCACTGGGTATTGACAAGCGTACTGCTTATTGTTAGCAGGTAATGATCGGCATTAATATACAGCAAATACAATTGTTAAATTGTCAGCCTAATATACCTGATAGTATCTCTGTATTCATTATCGTGAAAATAATTATTTTATTGGAAATTATCATCTTTAATAAACTTTACACTTGGGGAATTGAAACAGTTGCGGAAAATAAAATGAGCTTCTCGGCGCGACGCGTGGAACTAGGATTCGGTCTATAGTCATAACAATAACATGCGTAATTCACTTTATGATTCACATTTATCGCGATCAAAATCGATTATCTTAATATTAGCGGTTAATGCGACTAGCGCACAATAATCGTCGTTGCAACAAATAAGACCGAAGAGTAGTTATCGCGTGCGGAATGTTTATCTAACGAGAGAACACCTATAGAAAGTGTGCACGCGGACACAAGCAATGCAATTGTGAATAAATATAGGGTAAGAACTGCAATTGCTGGCGACTGTATAGTTATCGATACTTGGACGATAAATGTACTTTTACGAGCTTAATAATGTAAATATAAAAGAGCAATTTATTACAGAGCATTTATTTCTTTAAACCATAACAGCATTTTCTCTTAAACACATTGCTCTTACTTATTATAAATAAAAATCAGATAAAAATAGCGAAATAGTTTGGTATGATGCACAATCATGCGCGCGTGAGAATCGTAGTAAATCGGTTGTTGAGTCAGAAACTCGCATGCGTGTGAGAACAGTCAGTTAAGCATAAAAGTATCCATCTGACAATTATGTATACATGTATAATTACAATTACATGTCTACAAAACATCAATATATTCACCAGCATGCTTCCTAACGAGTCACACTCTGCGGATCAAACAACATAATTTAGGTGTGAAACGTCCGTTACCAAGTTCTGAATCTTCAACCTCATTTATCTGTTAATGTTACTGTTAAGAGTATCTTACAGTCACATCGCCTGTTGCTAATGGACGATTATTATCGATTACATTTACGGCATATTGCGACGAGAGATAGAAGGAATCAATTAAGATTGCGATCGGAATAGGTCGGTTAGGGCTTCGTAATTATTCATGTCACACACATCTGATTCAATATCTATAATAGTATAATATATCGAGGGTGCGACTTATTCCTAACATCTAAGTTACCACAATAAAAATTTAGATAATTACTATAACCGCTAGACTTGATATATATTTTTTTACATGTATCAAGTGTTATATTATTCCTCTAACATTATCGTATGTTTTATTATTGATTTATTAAAAATAAAACAAAATCAAGAAATAAATAAATGTATAAACATGTACATACACAAAATAATATAAAATAACATTTGACCGAGGAATGACTTATTTGAAACCAAAAAGTTAAAAAGAAATAGCTTATTTTAGAA